AAAAAACAACTGATTTACTCGCATCGTCGATTTGTTTAGCATATTTTTTTTTTCTTATTAATTTTTGCAGTTGCAGTTAGTTTTATAGAACCGCACGAACTGCCGAACCGGCCATATAAAGCATATGACAGAATTTTTCAATAGTTGCCATTTGAACAGCAAATTCTTAATTACAACGCAATAAAAAAAAGTATAATAAATTTAATGTTCGCAGCGAGTCGTGCCTAAAAGTCAAATGGAAATTGTGGTTTTCATAGAACATTTTTTTCTCCCAACAAGTGTTATATTTTAGTGCACTGCAAGTATTTCGAGTTATAATTCTGTTATACTGAACTGACATAACTAGCACGTTGCTGCGCCTAGTCAAGTGTTATATTTATGTGAATTGATTGAAAGGATTTTTGGGTCATGTTTCTCTTCAGACTTTGCTTGAGTGTTAAGTTCTTAACTCAAAACAATCAATTCCAAGTGTTATATTTATGTGAACTGTGGGATTGGAAGTTATATTTCTTCTTAACATTTCTCTTATTAGGGTTCAATTGTTGAGATCTTTATTCAAGACAATTAATGCCAAATGCTACATTATAAATTCATGTAAGTACAATTTTTTCACAAGTTGTTAACTAAAGACAATTAATAAAACTTAAAAATTGTGCAAAAATTGCAAAAAGTGTGTAATATTCACGCCTTCTTTTAAGAATTATATCAACAGTAACAACTCGAAATGACAACTTTCCTAATGTATTTTTTGTACACTCCTGAGTCTTTACGATCTACAAGCCTCACGATAAATTTTAACACGCACATCTCTAGCTAGGCACGCCCCAAGGGGCAATTTGTACAGCAATTTGTGTGTGTTGTTTGTGTGTGTTTCGTTGTTTAGGCGTCGTTTCAAGTTGTCGCCGTTGTCAGAGGAGAAACCGGAGGCGGGACCGGCCCGAGCCGGAGGAGCAACAAAACGGAGACAGCAACTCGCGAATACTTTGACAATTTTGCAAACTCATCGCACGACGCGCGTTTTTTTTTTTTTTTTTTACTTCTTCTATATATAAATACGGAGCTCCATTGTTGATCATTATTATTACAATGTGTACACATATAAAATATCAGCTTTTATCTATCCACCTATCGACTGGCAACAATGTAGCCCCATTTATAAACACATATCGTTTTGTCACTTCTCTTTCTATCTATATATGCACAAGTATTTCTTTATCTGTATAAACCATTCCCGGTTTGCCCCATTCATTCGACTGGCTTTTTTTTGTTTCTTTTTCCAACTTTAGATCCACACAGATTGTTGAAATTTTGACATTCAGCGCACGTTGCGATTGTCTTTAATTTGATAAATATTTCAGCAATAATTAGAATCAAAGATATTTTGTATACACTACCAGAGGGTATTAAAGCTTTGCGATGACTTGAGTCATGTATTGAGGAGGACTTTTCAGGAACATGCCTGTAATATTGCAAGCTAATCGAGGGATTAGCTGAAAGAGTTAAGTTACCCAACAGATCGGATGTTATATTGTTTCTCCTTGTTCTTAACTTAACTTAGATATTTTAAAGCTTTTCACATATGAGGAACAGCAGAATATGGGCCTACTCTTATATATATATTGCTGACACGGACAATTTTGGCCTTTCTCATAAGAAAACTTGTTTGTTTCGCAAAACTTCTTGACCAAAGTCTATATAATAAAGCTTTTATAGGAACAATAGTTCGGTTATTCACTCTTCCAGAAATATGTGATGAATTATAGAAATATATTGCACAAATATGTTTTCTAGTGTATTTGATCAAACGACAAGCCGCAAGATAAATGTTCCCCTAACGACTAGCCACAAGATAAATATTGCCCTGACGACAAGCCACAAGATAAGTGTTCCTCTATGTTTTCTGTTCAAAATTAACTACAATTCTCAAATTAACTTTCGATTACAATTAAATCTGATTCGTATACCCGCGAGCAGAGTATTTGATGTGTTTTGACAGTAAGCTAGAGTTCTCCTCACGGCCCCCTCACTTCCTTATGTGAGATATTGTTTACTTGGCTTTGAGCGACACACACACACACACACACATATATATATATTTACAATATTCAATCTTACACAATCTGAATTTACATGTTTAGATTGTGTTGTTGCTGTTGTTGTTGATAGTCTTTGTCATCGATTTTGTAGTCTCGTCAACTTGTTACGCCCATATTTGGCAGCAAAAATTCAAATCTTACGTCTCTTTGATTGTTTTTATCGATTGTGTATATAATCTTGGTTCTGTTCAGTCGTATTTCTATTTTTTACTCGCTGTCTGGCCAGAGGCTTGTTCTAAGCGATGGGGCATTACTCATTCCCCACACGACCTTTGTTTAATAACGCATCTATATACATAGTATATAACCATACACATGTTTATATATGCATATTGTATATATTTATAGTATTCATATATCCAAATGAGTTTCTTTTATGAATTATTAGCTTGTTAGCTCTGAAAAGCGCTTGAAATATTCTTTCAATGAGCGTAAAAGCGGGAAAATTTTTTATTACTTTTAATCAAATGCTGTGCAACAATCCAGAAATTGTGTTTTTTTACGAGCTCTTTAAGTTTGCAGCTTTTAATAAATTTATGACAAGGTGGCAACACTGAAATTCTGCATTGCAATTATTAAACAGCTGGCTAAAGTGCCTGCTAAATTAGCTAACAAGTAGCTCCCTTTCGTCTAACAAATTATTTAAGTGCTAGTTAAAGTTGACGATAAAAATGTAAAACAAGTTTGGCCTTTTTTTTTTTTTCAAAACATCCCGCAAACCCTAATTGTAAATATTTAACAGCTGCTGTTGTGTTGGACAAAGTGGCTGTTAAACTTGTTTAATATAAACTTGGCCTGTTTTTATATAAAAGTTCATATATCCATAGTCTCAATACATTACGTTAAGCAAGTTCCTTAAAATGACAGCACATACATAAACAAGTAAGTTGTCAGGTAGTTTATCTGTAGATTAGATTTAAAGTGCAATTGATTTGATTTCTGACAATCATCATATGCCAAAACTGCAGACGTTTTATGAGCCAAACACCTTGCCAAAAAAGAAAATATATAAAGTGCCAAAGAGTCTCAATAAATTTGATGGCTTTCGTGCTGGCGGCGAGAGCCAAAACTAGAATTTCACTTTCGTCGTGCGGGGCTGTGGCCCAGAAACCAAGAAACCAATTGAGGCGTCAACTGACTGGCCAACTATGTGGCAAGTGGATAATGTTGTGGGTAATGTGGGTCTTCATTTGGTTGGTTGCAACACACAACGGTAAACTGAAAAGCGCTTACGAGGTCAGTAATGGGCCCTGATTTGAACAAACAGTTGGCGGTTGGGGCTTTAAGGACCTTGTGGCACGCCAGGGTGCACGGATTAAGATCTCGCATGTGAGTTTAGAATTTGGAAAACAAATATCGACAGCTAAAACTGAGGTATCAACACTTTATGAAGACAAGACCAAACAAGAGCCAACTGACCCTGGACAGCGGCTGCCAAGCGGCAATAACAAGAGCCCAAAACGTGCTGGGTAATAAATCAAAAATAATAAAATCATTTTTCTTTTTTTGCCGCTTAACATTAACTGCAAACTTGCCAGCTCAACGCAATCAGACGGAACAAGACCGCATTATAATTAAATAAAAATTTATGAATACGACGAATACGAATACGAATACGAATCATATCTGAATGTAAGACTTGCACCCTATGCAATGCAATGAATCGCTTATTAACGCGACTTGGCCCCTGACATTGACTTTAACATGACCTTTATCAAGCGACATGAAGATGAAACTTACAAAGGGGAAGCTGCTCTTGAAGTTAAATATAAACAATTGCAAACGATGGGAACACATTTTGTTGTGTTGTAATTCACAATTACAATAAAAATTAAGCGTATTTTTCTTAAACGAGAGTTGATACTAAAGTTGTAAAACTAAGGCTCTGTCAAAGCTAATGTCAAAACATCTGTGCGGTTAAAGTCAGTTCATTATTAAATATACATATTGCTGAAGACTTATTATAACAGATACTTAACCTTCTTCGCATAAATTAATTATAAGGAATTAAACTTGAAATCACCTTAGCTCAGAATGCGTTGTCTATGTTTGTTTAACACAGCTGTCAAGTCTATTAGTTAAATTTGCTACACATGCAAATCATTAATCATTTTATACAATAAATTCTTTATTTGGCAAAAATCTCACAGTAGTTAAATTAGCATTGAATTTGCGAAATAATCAACTTGAACTGGTTTAAAGCGGGCAAAGATCACAAAATGCACAAATTATCGATTGCAAAACTCGAGCTGTGACATAATATTATTTATAATAGTGTTATGGCACTTGAAATATATAAATAAGTTGTTTGAATGTATGTTAAATACAAATGTGCGACACGATTTACAAGCCAGCGCTAAAAAGCTAACCGCCAGTTAACCCTCGCTGTTAAATTGAAGATTTGTTTGTGGAATCTAGCGTGGGGCACATTTGTAACTCAATCAGGCGTCAAAATGTGGAGGCCCTTGACGTCAAATGAGACGCAGCGTTTGAAGCCAACTGTTAAAACAAAGTTTAAGCACCAGTGTTGTCAACTTAGCTATTTTAGAGCTAAATGAATGCTATTTCCGAGGAATTGTAGATAATTGAGCTATTTTGAAGCTATATTTGAACAGAATTAACAGCCCTATGAATGGCTTATTTGTGCTTAAAAAACTAATACTGATCTGTTTAGTTTTTGTTGTTTAATATTGTATTTAACCACTTTCTTGTAGCAGCAGTTGGCAACACTGGTTTCAAGCCAACTGGAAAAACACACCTAAAGCCCTTTAAGAGCTAGATAATGTTGTTTTCAGCGGCATTTTAAACTGGTTTGGCTATTTTTAGCTTTCTTTGGCTAGAACAAAGAGCCCTGTGAATGGGCTCAGAAAGCTAATACAGTCTCTTTTAGTTGTTGTTGTTTAACATGGGATCAGGCTACTTTCTTGTAGCGGCAGTTGGCAACACTGGTTGGTTTCAAGCCAACTGTAAAAACACAGCTTAAGCACAGCTGCGTGCTGTGTGTGTGTGTGTGTGTGTGTGTGTGTGTGTATCGCATGTGGATTGTATTCGCATTTATTTGTTTTTTATTGTGTTTTATTGCTTTTCAGTTACCAGCTGGAATTTGTTCACACACATTTCTATGAATATTTTAAATACATGTGCTGCCCACGCTTCAATAATTACACAGCATTTATTTATTTTTTTTCTGCTACCATTTTTTGCATTCATTACAAAATTTATTAGCATGTCTTTGTTATGTTTTATTTCAATTGTTTGGCCATATAAAGTTGTTGCGGAAGTTTATAAAGTATTGTCGAGGGCTTTTAGATTTAATTGAATTTTCGTTGAATTATAGACAGAACAATAATAACAAACTATTTGCGCTGATTAAAAACTACAACTAAAACAATAACAAAAACTCAAACATTAATCTAGTTGGCTGTGTTTCGATTTCGGCGAAATTTTCTACAAACTAAAATCAAATTAGAAACTAACAATCAAAAAGTGAACCAACAAAGCGTGGCACAAATCAGCAACAAGATTATTTATTAAACACGACGTTATTTTCAAACAATCGACTACCGATAGACGCGATCCGACGATGCGTCAACAACCGCGCGAGCGCAAAGCTAAAAACTCACTAAGCTCGACGCGTCGTCAACAGCAGCAGCAGAGCTCACACGACGGCAGCAGCAGCAGCAGCAGCCTGTGTGTGTGAGTGAGAGAGCACAATGACATACAGCCTGCTGCTGACTGAATGTGAGAGAGCGCTGATGGGAGCAAGTGCATTGCTTTGGAGAGTGGGCTGTGTCTGCCCTGTGTGCATGTGTGTGTGTGTGTGATTACCGGCGTGTGAAACTTTATGCAAATTAGCCTGTATTTGTATATGCGGAAAATAAAAGTTTATGTCAGTTTCTTTGACAATAAAAACAAAACAAAAAAACTGCTGATACGGTACAATGAGTGTGTGATACGACCAAGCTAAATTTTTAAACGGCCTAACACAGCAGCCGCTGCACGGACGAGAACCTGCCTCAATTTGTTTCTGTGTTGATATTTTCTGTGTGTTTGTTAAAAAGTTCAATGCACGTTGATTACACAACAAAACCAAAAACAACAACAACAACAGCGAAGACAATAAGAACAACAATTTTGCGCTTTTATTACAAACATAAACGTTTTTATGTATTTTTTTTCCACACAATTGTTGCTTGATGCTTTTGGTACGTGCTATTCAGCTTTGCGTTTTGATCATTAAAATGCCCAAAATTAACACTTAAATTAAATTAGTTACGTAAACCGTTGGGTGGCCAAATGTTAAGTTTCGCCTCTCATCAAAGCAGCGTCGACATCTGCTGATGTCATCAACCAATCGCGATTGCTGCAGCGCAGAGTGCAGAAAAATATGCGTCGACTCTTTTTCGGCACAGTGTCAAGTTTGACAGGCCAACAAAGAAGAAGAAGAAGAGGTGGAAGAAGAAGATGCAGAAAAAAAGAAATTTTGCTTGCCAATAAAAATGAAATTCTGTTTTGATATGCAAATTCAGCAGCGCCTGAGAGGAGACACTCTTGCAAAAATTATACGTATGCATGTATTTTTATTTGTTTTCTTTTTAGAAACGAAAACGAAATATTTATGGCCTCGAGGCGACAAAGTCAAAAAGCAAGTAAAACAAAAACAAAGAAGACGGCGAAAAAAAAATGCACTCAGCTGCGGCGGCGGCGACTGCGGCTGTTCCTTTGCTGGGGCTGCATTAAAATTTTAATGTCAGGTTTGACGACAAATGAGATGTGCGCCAAGGCAAAAAAGAAAAAAAAAAAAGGCAGACGACGCCGAGTTGCAGCTTCTCTGCGTCTGTGCGTGCCAAGAAAAAATATTTGGTCTACATTCAGGCATGAAAAGTGCGTCGTGCGTGCATTTATTTTTTCTCTTCGATCAAAATGCAGTAAATGTCTATCAAATAATTATACACTCCCCTATTCTACACTCTCCCCATGTGTGTGTGTGTTTGTCTGTGTTGGACAATGTTCAAGGTCAGCGCACGATTGTGATCGCTTTCGCAGCTTTTGGCAAAGCACAAAAAAGAAGCCAAAGCAAAAGATTAATTAAAAGCAATACACACAAGTGTGAGCGAGCGAGACAGACAGACATAGATAGATAGCCAAAATATTGAGTGCTGTATAAAACACGAATTTGGACAGCGTCAATACAAAACGAAACTGTAATATAAATCAACGTCAAAGTTCGACTTGGTAAATACCCTTTAAAGCAAAATAAACGAGATTAAAAAAAAACACAAATATATTAATATACGAACTATATAGATATTTCAAAAATATCTGTTAGTTTGTCGTTGATGTGAGCTTTAAAGAAAAGTAAATTGAAAGTGTTCAAGTTTCTCACATACCCGTTGCTTTTAGGGTAAACAAAAAAATAATTTACTGTTTAAACAGCAGGCCACAAAAAACCAAAGTAATTATTATAAATAATTATTAGAGCGCAGTGGCAGTTATACATACATACAAACATGGCAACAAAACTTTACGCTGAAAAAGCTCTTGTTGTTGTGCATACAACAGTTTTTCGAAATATTCCTCTATCTGTTGCTGCTGCTGCTGCTGCTGTTGTTGTTGTTGTTGTTGTTGTTGTTGTTGTGACTTCTGCGAGAGCATAGAGCAGTGTTTGGCAGCGCGTTTTAAGCACATTCGATAGATAGGCCGGCAATCGACCCCCTGTCCGCTCCCGAACGTTCGCTGGCTCTAACTTTCCATATGTATTGTAAATTTCCATTGTTTATGATTAAAGTTATGGCGTTTGCTTTTGTTCCGCTTTTTTTGTGTGTGTGTGTGTGTGTGTGTGTGAATGTTAGTGTATGCAGCACCTTAGATGCAAAGTGCGCAGATAAGCCGCAAAGGCAAAAGTAAAGCTCATTAAGCGTTGCTCTCTTTCTATTCTGTGCGGAGCTGGGGTCGGGCTTTATTATGCTCAGCTGCCCTGTAAATGGGTTTAAAATGTAGGGTATAGTACAATTTCGGAATTGTATGTAACAGACAGAATCTTTGCATTTTGCACAACAGCTTACAGGGTAAGTTTGATGCTGATGCTCACAAGGAAGCGAGCAACTGACAGTGGGCGTGGCAGACGCATTTGCATATGAAAAACAATATAAAAAACGAACGTTGTTTGCTCATTTGTTAATCTTTGCCTTTTTATGCGCCACCATTATTCAACACTGAATGCTCAGGTACCGTTACGTACAGACATACACACATACATACATACATACACACATAAATCCAACAGCTAATGCTAACCAACTCTTGCGGTTGTCTGGCCGTCTGAGTCTGCCCGTCGTTACCGTTGTTGTTGTTTTTTGTGTATTATTTGTTGTCTCTGTTGTTGCTAGGCAAATGTGCAAAATGTTAATAAACTTGTATTGCGCAAAACAATGCGACTACATTTATTATAATTGCGCAAATGTTGTTTGATATGCTTTTCAAATGATTTGCCCAGGTTTCTTTTGATTTTTCTTTGCACAAACGAAAGTCGCCATAATGAGTGTGTGTGTGTGTGTGTGCGTGTGCATCGATAAATTTGTATGCATACACACATCGATTATTATTAATACGATAATTGCATGAAGTTGGCTGCGCTAAGACAGTCACAGCAACCCACACGCTAGGCAAATTACATTAAATGAATAATTACATGACAACAATTAAACAAATGCGCCAAGTACACAGAAAAGGCAGCACAAAGAACAAGCGCATACGCCCACACACAGTGACGACATCAATAACAGTTCTAATGGACGCCCAAAAAACAACCAGAGAGCAGAGCAGGAGCGGAGAGAAGAGCAGAGCAGGAGCGGAGAGAAGAGCAGCCCAAGGCACAGCGCGCAAAGCATAAGCCACGTACACACACACACACACACACACACACACGTTAATAAAGCATAATGGAAGAAGAGAGGTTGACGAACTCGCGAGCGTCGTCTCACTGTCCAATTTTGATTGCCTACTAGTTGTAGACTTTTTAATTCGCTGTTATTGCGGCTGGCAAAGCTTTCAATTTGGCTCAGTTAAACGAAGCGTTGAATTGAAAGCGAGCGGCCGGCCGACTCCAAAAGGCCGCCTTCATGTCCATATAATTTGCTAATCACATTTGGCAAATTATGTTGTAAGCCGCACAATTGTACAATCAAAATGATGTGCGACGCGACAGATTAGAGACACGTATCAAAACAAGTTGACAAATTTGCCAAAGCATGAGCAAATACATATATTAAAAGCGAGCGGGAAAGAAAGTCACGAGCGAGCGAGACGCACAGAACACATGCGAAGAGAGGAAATGAGGCGAGAAAATTCGCGTGAATCATATGCAAAGTGGCACAGAAAAAATAAAATGAAGAAAACTTAATACCCCGCCGTTAGTAGGCCGGGCCAATGCCAGCACACGCCCCACAGCGCCAACAACAACAACAGCAAAAATTTAGCCATAAACAATTAATCTTGATTCGTTCGGGTTGGCGGGAGGAGGGGAGCTTACGCAGCAACGAGATACCAATAGGTAAATGACCAAAGAGTCATCGTCGTGCCGCCGCCACAAATGGATTAATTGAGTGACCTTTTTTTTTTCCTTTTTGATGGGCGACACCATTTTTTTTTTTTTGATTTTTGATTTTTGTTTTGTTTTGAGTATATTGCCATTTTAAGTGATTTATAAACAACATGTAAACTTGCTGTATATCAAATGACGCTTAGTCAGCAGGTGGTATTCGATTTAGTCATTATTTATTTGCATATTAATATTAATAATATTAGAATGTTGATCAACAATGCAGCAGCAATCGCCGCAAATGGCAGAAAAATAAGGTACAGCTACGGTTAATTGAACTGTTCCCATTAATTCACAAGCAACGGATTTAGTTCAGCTCTCTTCCATTGTCTCCCTCTCTCACTTCCCCTTTAACTGTTCCTTTTCATTCACAAGCAAAGGACTTAGTTCAGCTCTCACTCTCTTTGTCTGCATCTCTCTCACCCTCCTCCCAATAAAGATTATAGTTACTCAAGAGCTAAAGGTAATTGAACTTCATTCATAAGGAAAGGATTTAGTTCAGCTCTCTCTTTGTCTCTCTCTCTCTCTCTCTTCCCCCCACGCCTCACTCTTTTAAGATTATTGTGAATCAAGATCTCAAGTTAATTGAACTGTTCCCATTAATTCACAAGCAAAGGACCTAGTTCAGCTCTCTTTCTCTCTCTTTCTAATCCCCCCCTTATGGCAGCGTCACTCTTTAGTTCTTTGCTTTCCAAGCGCTTCACAAATTCGTGCAGCCGAAAAAAATGGTTGAAGTGTAATTTTGCGATTCTTCATTGTTTTTTTTTCCGCATTACGCTAACACCCCGCCCCCCGGCAATCCACCAGCACGTAAAGCACCTCAATTGAGCATCAAAACTTTTTGTTGAATTTGCATAAATTTGCACGCGAGAAACACTTCAAAAGAAATCACATGCAAATTGAAAATTGATTTTCGTCAAAATCGCTGATTTTGGCATTGCGCAAAATTTAAAGCTGCTGAAGGTTATTTGGCAGCCATTGTTGTTGTTGTTGTTGTTGTTGTTGTTCTTGGCGGCGATTGCATCGTCTATTGATGTGCCTTTTTCATAGCCGCATAAATCATAGTTGATGTACATAAATTGATATTTAAAATATGTATGTACATATATTTTACTGTTATTTGTTGTATTTTGATTGGTATAATTGGTTTTTCTCGCTTGATTTATGTGCTGCTCCAAATTGCCGATAGAAATGATTGATGAGCTCTATTCTCTATTCCCCCCTGTCACTTTTACGAACTCAATTGAGTCCAATTGGGAATGGTGAATATGCATGTCGCGACACGTTGACAAACTGACCACAGTCAAGGACAAACGGGAGAGACTCACGCATAATAGCGCCCAAATATTTACAACTTGCACAAATTAGGCAAATGGCTAGAAGAATATGTGCCAGACATAAATCATGGCCATATAAAGCGTAACCTACGCATTCCACGCACAAAGCGTGCCCAAAAATAGCGCAATTTTTTTTTTTTAGCTGATTAGCATCAGTTGGCGATGTGTCGGTACGTGATGGGCGCTGAGTCGAGTCCAGGTGTGCCCAGGCTGCGTGACACTTTTGCCAAGCGGCCACACTGCCCAGATCAGGCATTCTGCTGCTTGCCGCTGTCTAATTGTTCACACCCGCCGCGTGGGCCACACCCAGCTGAAACTAATCTGAAAACAATTAAGGCGCGCGTGTGTGTGTGTGAGAGAGAGAGAGCGATAGAGAGAGAGAGAGAGAGGGAGTGAGCGCGCGGAAGAAGTGTATCATTTGCAGCGTGTACAACAATTTTCAAATTAATTTGCAATGTGTGCCGTTTAACTAATTAAGTTTTAAATGTGCGCAGACAGCGATATCCCAGAGTGATAAACTAATTAAAGATAATTAATTAGTAACGCGAAAGGGTAAACAATTTGTTGGCAAAGCGAATTTGTTGCATGAAGCAAGCAGCCAATAAATATAAATAAATTAAAATAATCAAATCAGCTGTGT